AGGAGGCAGCCAATCAACAATACCTCTTTCATCAGTGATATTTCTGTCCCTCTCTCCTCTCCCTTCCTCTCTGAAATCAACAGTCCAACATGATTGGCAGTTGGCAAAATCTAGTAAAGCAAGTGTTCTGATTGCTAAGGATTTAATTTGAATGCTTTTAATACTTAGCCATCTAACACTTCAAATATAGTCCAGAATAAAATGCATTGTCTCCCTCCCTTTCACTTTAATACCACACCTACCTCACTTCAATATGGAAATATCTTCATTAAATATGATTCCAAGAGGAACAAGTTCTCTGGAGAGTATAGCCATGAGGACAGTGCACAAAAAGAAAAACTCAAAATAAAACTCTGTATGATAACTTACTAGTCTAAGGAAACAAAAACCTTCCAATATATTAAGAAATCAATCCAGTTACAAATGCACTAATAGTTCTATGTGAAGAGGTTCTGGTATAGTAACTGAAAATGGCCGGCTATTTACAAGATACACAAGCAGGTACAGTGCACCTCGCCCAGCACGGGCCCTCAGAAGCCAAACGTGTTCTCTCCACTGTAGGCCACATACAAGAATCCATCTTCATCTTTTTCCTTCTCGTAAAGTTGTCCCATAGTTAGGCTTGAAAGAGAAAAACAAAAAACAACATTGAAAATGTATACATGGGCTCTCCCCCCTTTTCAGCACCCATTAATTACTGAACTTTGTAAACGGGCATTGAAACATTACACACAGTTTTGCTGCACCAACTTTACATAAACTTTTACAGTACAATCCATATTATTTTCTAGAGACAAACCAAAGGTTAATTTCTCAAGGTTCTTGCTGCCTGCTTTAGCAGTATTTAATGGAGAATCTTTCATATACATTTGTAATATTAGAAAAATAAACCAGATTGCAAATCCTTTTTTTAAAATATATTTTTATTGATTTCAGAGAGGAAAGGAGAGGGAGAGAGATAGAAACATCAATGATGACAGAGAATCATTGATCGGCAGCCTCCTACTGGGGATCGAGCCCACAACCTGGGCATGTGCCCTTGACGGGAATCAAACATGGGACCCTTCAGTCCACAGGCCAACGCTCTATCCACTGAGCCAAACCAACGAGGGCCTAAATCCTTTTTTTTTTTAATGCTTAAACCATGTACCAAATTTGTGGTCCAAATCATGTAAAATAAGTTAAACTGCATTCTCTCTCTCTCTTTTTAAAAATATATTCCTGTGTGTGTGTGTGTGTGTGTGTGTGTGTGTGTGCGCCCTTGACCGGAATCAAACCCAGGACCCTTCAGTCCGCAGGCCGACGGTCTATCCACTGAGCCAAACCCGCCAGGGCTTTAATATATTTATTTATTTCAGAGAGGAAGGGAGAGGAAGAGAGAGATAGAAATATCAATGATGAGAGAGAATCATTGATGAGTCGCTTACTGCATGCCCCCTACTGGGGATTGAGCCCTTAACTCAGGCATGTGCCCTTGGCCGGAACTGAACCCAGACCCTTCAGTCCGCAGGCCGATGCTCTATCCACTGAACCAAACCAGCTAGGGCTAAACTTCATTCTCTTAACCAATATAACTGTATTTCTGTAAACATAGTTATCTTGAAATAAAGTTTTTAAAAATAAAAACAACATTAAAAATTGGGTTTGATTACTAAGTCTAAGTGTTGGGAGAAAGATTACTTATGGATAAGGAACTTAATACTTAAACTAGCTACTCTCTCCCACAACTTTGGTGGTAGATGGTTAAAAAGAAATTCAGGTCTCATTAATGCTACATTCCTGTTGTAAAGAAGATAAATGGAGCCACAAAAGATTAAGGTAAATTAGGCCTTTGAGAATCACAAGACTAGAATCAATTCTCCATTTCCTGCTTCAAGACAAAGCTATTTGCACTCACCTTTACACAAAGTAAATCCTTCAGAGGCCAGCTCTATCTAGCTCCTTACGTGGGGCTGGCTGGTTAGTACTGGTTAATATGTATACATTTAGAATGCTTTCTGAATGCCAAGGGCAAGGGGAAAAATCGAAGCGAAATTAAGAGCCTATGAAGCCCATCCCTGTATGGATGGAGGACCAAGGAAAGGAAGAGTACATGGAGTTTATTTCTGCTTCAGGCTGGTTTATTGACGATTTCTAATTTGTAATTACAAGTGGGTTCATTCTTGTGGAAGCTCCTCCACCAAAAACCCTGTGCTCCACAGACCTGTGTCAGCATCATCAAAGAGAAGTTACTTTCCTCACATGCAATGCAAACATCTCTCAGATTGTATCTGGAATCCAAAGAAGCCCTGCCTGGCCTTGCTAAGGACCCTCCAGAAATAGATACTGCTCAAACTAAATATGTGGGTGGGAAAGCTGGCTTTCCCTAAGCCATGAATTGGGCTGCACTACCACCTCCAGAGTAAGACTTGTCACACCCAGAACCCTGGATGAGCTCTGGCCACATGACTGTACTATTAGGAGCAGGAGTCAAAGAAATATGCTAAACATCAGTGCAACCATGAGTGGTGAGGTCAACCAGAACCAGCTGGAGACATCAGAGGTCACCAGCCTGGCCAGGTCACAATAGATGCTAAATGCAGGATTCAGTAAAACAAGGTCCACGGGGGTGGATGATGAGAGGTCCAGGGCCTCGAGCTGGTGAAGCAATGACTGCCCACTCCGCTGCTGTGCTCCTGGTGGGCTGTGTGGGACTTCCATGTAAACAGGGACATGGGCTCCATTTATTAAGGGGAGAATTCTTCCTTTTTTATTCTTCCTACCTGTTTTCAAGCTCAGACCATTTGGCTGTGTGGGTAGATGAGAACTATTAAGTAACAAAGTGGGGGTGGATGAGTATGAATACAAAACGGTCTGTCATCAGCCTCTTGTGCAATGAAACAGTGCTCCTTTTGAGGATCTCTTAACCTGGAATTTGTAAAATAAGGACTCCCTGGAACAGCATGGTCTGCTAGAAATTTCTGCTATGACAGAAATGTCATATACTTTTACTGTCCAATACAGTAGTCAGTAACTACAGTCAGCATTTGAAATGTGGCTCATCTGAATTGGAATATGCTGCCCTGACCGGGTAGCTCAGTTGGTTAGAGCGCTGTCCCAATATGCCAAGATTGCAGGTTCAATTCCCAATCAGGGCACATACAAGAATCTACAAATGAATGCATAAATAAATGGAACACAAATTGATGCCTTTCTCTCTCTTTCCCACCCCCCTGCGTCTCTCTCTAAAATCAATCCAAAGATCCCTTTGAATTGGGATGTGCTGTAAGTATAAAATATACACAAGATTTCAAAGACTTAGTATGAAGAAGAAAAAAAGGATGTAAAGTACCTCAATTTTGGTTACATATTGAAATGATGATATTATCTATGTACTAGAAAAATAAAATATATTATTAAAATTAATGTCACATGTTTCTTTTTCCTTCTTAATGTGACTATTAGAAACCTGAAAATTACAAATGTAGTTCTCATGCCATTCCTATTGACAATACTGCCCTGGAACATGTGAGGACTTGGGGAACAGTGGATAGAAGGAGGAACCCCTGCTCACGAGAACATCTAGAGTGGTGGGTCTCAACCTTGGCTGCCCATCAGAAACAATGGGGAGCTTTAAAAATATCTCCACACATAAGCCCCACCCCAGGTCAATTATATCTGAACCTCTGGAGGTGTAGGACCCAGGCATCGGTACATCAGCATGTTTTAAAATGCCAACAATGATTCCACGTGCATCCAAGGTTGAGAACCAGTCCCTGTGCCAAAGGGAGATAGCTGTTTGTCTTTTTCTTTTCTTCTCTTTTTGAGATGCTTATCTTGAAGAGCCATGTGATCAGGAAGCAAAGTGACACGGCAGGAAGTGAAGCAAGGAGCCAGCAACTAGCAAAGGTGTTGAACAAGTAGCTGAGTCTCTCAAGACTTTTACCCTGGTGGTTGGGAATGCCCTCAAAGAGATTTCTCTGAGATTTCTCGGAATAAGGCTGAGGGGAAAACAGCTACAGCTATTGCCACAATTCCCTTTGCCCCATTTGGTCCAAGTGTCCAGGGTGACCTTGATGAGACCTGTCCCTACCACCTCCCCACTACTATTGCCACAGTGTTTAGACGCAGAGGTAACAAACATTGTGTGGAATTCAAAAGGCAGCCACCCCTTGGTGCCTATGTTGTTTGCTTCCATCTGACAGACTAAGTTCTGCTCTTACTCTCTGTGTGCTGTCTGACATACTGGAACCACTATCGTCTCAGGCAGGCTCTGAGACTCTGAGATGGGGATATCATGGGGCTTTCTGTCTTTAGATTCCATTGTCTTTTAAGTGAAATGTGGTTTTTTAATTTGCTTAAGCAGTGCCCTAGCAGTTACAGAGGCTAATCATAAAAATCCTAACTATAAAAGCAAACCCGTGCCAAGCACTGTTCTAAGTATGTTACATGCATTAACTCTATCCTCACAACAACCTTATGAGGCAGGTACTATCCTAATCCATAGTTCATAGATAAAAGTGAGGCGGAGAGGTTAAATAATTGACCCCAGGTCATAAAGCCAGGAGACATTCTTACCACCAAGCTTTGCTGCCTCCAAGTGGATACACAGCTAGATCTAATGCCCCAATGTCAGCATCCCTGTACCTTCTACAGAGATCTTCCTTAGCACAGCGCTTCTCACACAAACATGCATACAGAATCACCAGGTCAGGGTGAGGCCTGTGACTGTATTTCTAACAAGCTCCCAGGTAAGGCTACTGCAGCCAGCCTCTGCATCACACACTGAGTAGCCAGGTCTTAGCGGTCTCTCCTGCAGATCCTGTCATTTGACAAGGAGATGGCTATGCCTAATGACTTTCAGAGCCCTCTCACTGTTCTCCTATTCTGTCACGTAGCCTTGTGTGGAAACTTTATTTAGTTGGCAGTAGCAATGTATCACTGTATCCTTACACTCAGGATACCCATTGGGTAGGAACTTGAAAACAGACAATGCTCAATGCTAGGAGCTAAACCCTCCATTCAGCAGCCTGTGACTGAATGCCTTATTTCGAGGCTTCCCTAGGTACCATGAAAGAAGACTGCCATGTCTGTACAGTATGATTTGTAAACAGACGTGTAGTACCGGGCCACACACAGTCAGAGTAACTTGGCCTGGAGCCAAAAAGAACTGGGCCGCAAATATAGTTTCTTAAAAAATGTTTTTATGTCCCACTAAAAGAATAGTCAAATGGAAGTGCAGGATGCAAAACGTGACCCTAGTCAGCAGGCAGCCTATTGCAGAAGGCCGCTGTGTCAGTTAAGACCAGTTCCATGAGCCTCCAAGATGAACTTCCCTCTAAGAACTCACAGAGGCCATGACACGGCATTGAGCAGCCCACTGCTGAAGCGCCTGGGGATCCTGAAGCACAGAGGCAGCTCTGATGTGCGTGTCTGGCTAAACTGTGCAGGCCTGCCGGATGGCCTGACAATTCACAAACAGCACTACAAGGTCAAGGCTTCCTGCCCAAGCTACTGGTTGCAGAAGACACCCAAAGGTGGCTTACAGTCTATCAAGTGTTACCTGCATTCCTCCGAGAAGGATGCTGCTGAGGACAAGGGGTACTGCCACCTTCCAAGCTCAGAGTCTGATGCGGAAAGAC